ATGTGGCCAGGTTGATCTACGGGGTCTATTTAATGTCTCGTATACAGGTTCAAAAAATGTGAAAAAGCAGGGTGGTGAGTGAGAGCAAATAGAGATATGTGTCTCTGATAAAAGATTGCTCAGCTCTGCGCGTGGGTGGGAACAGTTTTCTGATCACAAAGCACTCACTGGTGCCAAAGGTGAAACACCTGCCTTGACATCAGTGACTGGCGTGTTACTTTAAGTGAAATACATTTTCAGCTTGAAGGAGAAGGCTATGACATTTTCCCACGCGAGAACAGAAAGCAGGATGTAACACGGACAATATTTAAAATTTTAAACAGGATTAATGCTCGCTGTGTAGAAGCTATAGAACCAAGTTAGCAGCTTAAAAACAAGATTTATCACTGAGTTGCTCTCTGAATTAACAAAAAGGCCTCATTGTCAATTTTACTGCAACACAGCTTCATTGGCTGAAACTGGACGGATGAATCACTGCTCCTTCATTGGTAAACAAGCAACATAATTACTTTACATATTTATATATGTGAAAGCGAAGGTGAGATAATTACCTCAACTGCCTCTTGTAAATAAACCATTGTATTTTGCAAAGCTACTTTGACGTGTGTTCAAGGCAACAGGCAGAGTTGGTTATAACGGACATCTCCAAAATCCTCGATTTGTGATTTGGATGGCATGTAGTATGGCGAAGTAGCAAAACATATTGATTCTGAATATCTGAAATGGTTTCAATACACATTTTCTGCAGTATCAATACCACTTTGTCACACTCTCTTCTGTCCAACAGTGAGTGTACACACACATCATTGCAGTGCCTCCATAGCTCCGCACTGTCATTCCTGTTATGGCTTTTGTGGCACCGTTTTGTTTTGTTTTTCACATACACTTGGATGGGTGTTTGAACGTGTACACTACCGCAAGAATTTTGTTTTCATTAATGTAATTTTTTTTAAATTACTGTTACTGTTGCCAGCAGTCACTCTTTTGTTCTCTGCCATTAACCGAAAGAAAAGTCGTCGTTATCATTAGGGATGTCACGATACCATAAATTCAGTAGTCGTTGCAGATGCCAGTAAAATTACACAATTTTTGATACCAAAGTCGATACCGCAAAAAAAAAAAAAAAAAAAATCCTAAGATCCCATGTACTTGAACAAGAAATACTTTTCCTCTTTACCTATTTTTCGTTGTAAAAAACATTGATCAACATCCGCGATAAACTCAATAAACTATTTAAATATTTACTATTTAAATCACGCTGACAGTGTGTGAGCCAACCACAAGAATGTGTGGAATTTCGTTGGTTTCAGTTATTGTCTGTCCTGTCCCGGTGCAAACAACGATTTTTGACATCCGTGGTCCCATTGTGGAAAAATCAAACGTCCCAGTACAATAAATCAAACGCACCCCAACCGCTGTGTTTCGGAAGTAGACGCGCATGAGCAGTCACGTACTGCTGAGAGCAAAATCCCTGATCGTTAGCTCACACGCAGCTTGTTCAAGCTGTTTTCTGTGTTGTTAGAATTAAACGAAATAACATGGAACATATCTGCTTATTATGCTACTGATTTTAATTGGGATATTTTTTGATGAACTGAATGACAATTAACAGAGTGTAGGACGTCTCGAACCCTGGGGCTCATAGGAGACCATAGGAGCATGGACAGTTCAGAAACAATTCGGAACGAGTTAAAAGCAATTAATAAACAGACAAAGCGGAGTTTAAAACTGCATATATTGCTAGCAGATCTATTTTCTGGCCGTGACTGGTTCTGAATGTGGGCTTTAGCAGGCAGCTGCTCTCTCCTCTTCCTCGTCACCCCCTCGCTCTGAATGTAGGCATGGACTGTAACGCTATATGGCGTATACTGCCCCCATCAGTTCCGGAAGAGTCATAGCACCTATTCTTACGCTGGTATCGGTTCTTGCGGTTTTTCAAAAAAATGAGTATCGCCGGGGTTTCGAAAGGTATCGTGAGTATTGGTTCTCATGACATCACTAGTTATCATGCTAAAGCCTCGCTCTTTTCATCTTTTTATAGCGCTGCTACATTTATGTCTTCAATGTCAATATTTCTCAGTGGTATCGAAAATGATACCAAATGTCAGGGGATTGTATCTATGTTAGAAATTCCAGTATCATGACCACACTAATAGCTCGTTCAAATTTTTGACCCTAACCCTTACTTTTATAAAACATGGTCGCCTCTGTGAAGTCCTGAAGTGAGATAAAAGTTGATGTTGCCAGTACGACTTCATTAGTGACATGCCGATGGTCTTCAGGCCCAATAACTGACATATGTGTTGAACTTTCAATCAGGCCAAAGAACTGTCACATAACAAATGACAAAGAAAAAATAAAATAAAAAAAGACACTTTTACAAGATTGAAGCTGAGTTTGAAATCCCTCTTGATTATCATCTCCTTTTCTTGGAAAAACTCATTAAACAGTGAGACTCATAAAAGCAGCAGGGGAGATGACAGTCTTGCATTCTCAGTTGTTTTAGAGGCCTCTGAGCGCAATAAGCATCTGAAAATTGGGGGCTGTTAAAGTGATTCTTTTTTTTTCTTTTACTGCCAAAGTGTTGTTCTTCAACAACGCAAGTAACAAGCAAGAATCCCAAGGAACGCGGAGTTAACAGAAGCCTTTTTGCACCATTTTCTGAGGGCAGCTCTGCGGGGAAGGCATTTACACCTGCTTGCCTCATCTTTCACGATACACTAGTCCCCCGAAGTGTGCTTTACTTATAAATATCCATGTCTAAGATGTGGCAAAGATGGAAGTGCCACAAAGAGGTATAGAAAAAAACAACAAGTGTGTATGTGTGTGTGCGTTACTAAAGAAACGGTAGCAATATCGCAGACAAATGAAGTCAGTTTTCACCAGTGACTTGTTTGTCAAATCAGCAGAAAGGATTTATGGTCCATGGTTACAATGAGAGGTTACAATAAAAGCACAAGACCTCAGGAATTAATCTTGCGAGCATTCGTCTCTCCACCTGATCCTCTGACACTGCTTTAAACTACAACCAACACCAGTGAACCAACTTGACTCGAGATAAAGGAAGACTCGCTACCCAGATAGGTCAGATTCAAAGCGTAAAAAAGGCGGGGATCTTTTTGACAGAATGTTCAATGTTCAAGCACGCTTATTGTTACATATCCTCAGACGGCATGCGTTTGAAAGACTATATTGCATGAATCATGAAACAGAGGAAAGAGGAAAAACAAATGAACTACTATCTCATTTTAGGAAGATCCCATCTAGCACCTTTTTTGCAATACCATCTACATCAAAGCTCCTCTCATTGACTTTCAACTTCACTGACGAAAGGGGGGGTGGGGGATGGGGGGGGGGGGGGGGGGGGGGTAGATATCAAACATTAAACAGCATTTTTCATTCATGAGCAAATCATGTTCTCTTTCAACAATAGAGGGAAAAGAGCTGATTCAGTGAAGTCGCTGCAGGGGTAATTGATAGGGATCCAGCAAAGGTAACTCCCAGGGGAAATGCTGGATCATGAATTCCTACCCTGCCAGCGGGAACATGGACTATCTATAGTGCGTTTTTTTTTAAAACCCCAGTGGGTGAGAAAGTGAATTTAATAAAGAATTTAAAAGGACATTTAAAGCTGAATTAAAGCCATGTGTCTGTGAAACTCCAAATGGTAAGTTATATTTCACTTTAAGATCCTTTCTGAAAATGTATTTCACAGCAGCTGTGCTCTGCAAACATATTGCTGATTTACTACCACTAAATATTAAACTTATCTCCCTCAATAAAGACGTAAAAATCAAATAAAAGAACACAGACAAAATTAAAAATAATTAAATAGGAATGGCGAAGGTGTCAGAAAGGTCTGACTGACGATTACTTCAGAAATGTCACGGACCACGTGTTGAATTATGTGATGTCTGGCAGGTATCCTCTGGTGAAAGACGACAGGCCTATCCCTGTCACTTCATTAAGCCTTGCAACAACTGTTCTTTCCTACCCCGCATTCTCCTTCCATCTGTATTATGCCGGCAAATCACCTTGCGGCAGCTGAGGCAAAATTGCTATTTATTTCACAGAACAAAAAAAAAAGAAAAGAAAAAAGAGTGGAGTCTAGTTTGTAGACCTGGAGGCTGTGAGAGAGACGGAGCAAGAAGCTGCTGGCGGGCTGACTGGTGTCCAAACAGACGGTGGGGATATGGGGAAAGTTGGAGGATTCTGTATAGTTATGTCCACACACCCTGACAGAGCTCAGATTTGACTGTTCCGCGCTTGACAGGGCTCTGACTTTTCCCCTCCCACTGCTGCTAGAATTAGAGGGATGTACTATACACACACACACACACTGTCAAAGAAGTGGAAAACACTCAAATTGTCATGGGAGGAATACATCAAGTGCCTTCACACACTCTTTTCCATACAGAAAACAAACTTGCTCCGTACTGCTTGTGTTATTCATCAGCAAGTTAGGTAGCCTGGTTGTGTATCTGAGAAACAAACTGGCCGGGACAAGAAAACTCCCAGAGCTTCCTTCACAAAAGCCTCCTGTCTTCCCCGATGGAGGATTGGCCTACTGGACTGGAAAAGGCAAGAAGCAAAACAAGCATAACTGCTCTCGGTTCACACATATACGTGCAAGTTCAAGCTTGTGCACACCCACGTGCACACACAAAAACACTCATCTGAAACTACTCAATGTGTAGAGAGAACAAATACAACAGCCACGTTGTATCTCTCAAAGACACAAACACATAAAAACATTGCAGCGAGAGCATCGGTATCCCTAATTGGCACAGACATTTGACTTGAGAGCATACGTATATGGTGCTCAAATGCAGAGGGAAAAGAGCTTCGTTTTAAGGTAATTAACATTTCAGTGAGGAAAAATGGCTTCTTAAAGTGTCACAAGATGAAAGTGGCTTGGCGTCTATTGCCTGAGAGGCTAAATGAAGCATGTGTGTGTAGATTAATTAAGGGAAGGGTGAAGAGAGATGACGCCTCCTTACCTTTGCTCTGTGAGGAGAAGCAGAGGGAGAGCTGAGCAAATAGGTCAGGACTCTCAAACTTCTCTTCTTTGACTTTGATCCAGAAGCAATTCTCTGCCATTTCCTGAGGCACTATCTGCAATGACACAAGGATTCCATTATCACCACAATCAGAGACCGCCATTCCACCAACCTGCCACTCAAAAAGTTCTTCTCACTGGAGATGGGGTTTGTGTGTGTTTTGGCTGCGTGTGGACACACACACGTCCTTGTGTGTACATCCTTAGCATCTGAGGAGCAAACACAACAAACAAAAAAAAAAGCAAAAGAAGAGGCTGCTGGGTTAAAGATGGTCTTTCATGTGATGACAAATTGCATGAATACGGACCACGTCTAAATGATGATGTGTGGATAGATTCTGACTGAGTAGCTCACACCAGAGCTCTTGTTGACCTCTCCTGAGATGAATGAAATATGTGAGTTTCAGTGTGCAGCACAAAAGCTCAGCAACCCTGTTTGTACACTCCTCCTACCTAGACTTCCCTGAAACGGCAAATCCTCTAAGCAGCAACCAGGCACCTACACACACCGAGGTGATAGCAGGCCACGGGGAAGCTTTCACACCCCTCATCTTTCATTCCCTCCACACTGCTCAGCAGACAGAAGAGTAGGAGTGTACAGTGAGATTCAGACATAAACAAACCCATCTGACATGTTGCTAGCTAATAATGTGTGTGACACTGCACTACATCTGCTGTACATTGTGTTAAGTGCTACGGTGAGAGCTCTTATCTAGAGCCTGGACCAGCAGTTGGCCTGCTGCACTGCTGCCGTTAACCTCCTCAAAACCCTCGGTAATTACACACAGAAAGAAGTGTAAGTGCACAACTCTTACGCAATGCCAAGAGAGAGTTCCAGCTGATGCCGGGCAATCATTCCCAAGGCCATATAGAATCGGTGATAAGTGTAACGGTGTTGCTGAAGCCCACATAGCAACAAAAGGTGCTTTAATGGGAGGCTTATGAAATTTTGAACATGAGCTGGTGTTGGTGTCGAGTGCAGATAACAAAGTGCCTCTGTATAGTTATTTGCTCTCATACAACCCACTCAAAGTCCTAGAAAGCAGTCTGTGTCATGTCGGTGATAGCTTAATTCAGAGAACGTGGCGAAACAGCAAACTGTGATATAGAAAACATTTAGTAACACAGTGATTCATATTTCACCATCAAGACTCTTCCTACACCTACAACACTAATAATAATAATAATAATAATAATACATTAAGTATATCCAGCTACAGCTCATGTAAAAGTTGCCAGTAGCTCCCTTTTATTTTTAGATATTTTTCTCATGGTCTACATAACTGTTAAAGACCCTGCACTGCAGTCTACTGTCATCTTTGTTATTAGTAACATTACCTATCAATGACAGAGAAAGACCGCTGACCTGAAATATGCCTCTCAACTACAAAGTTAAAATAAGAAAATGCACTTTTATTCAGTTATTCTTCGCTGACTTACATAATTAAATAAATCAATAAATGCAAAGCTATTCTCAATTATTTATTTCTATATCCAACTGCACCTTCATCTTTGTGTAAACTGTTTTTCATCTAAAGTGTGTAGAAAACACAATGTATTAGAGCTGCAACAATTAATCCATTAGATGTTACCTATCAAATTAGTTTCCAACTAATTTGCCAAGCACCAAGAAGACGATCAAACTTGACTATCTAGAGGAAGTAAAACTCGTAAAAAGGTTTCCGTAGATGAACCTGTGGGAGGATCAAATTACTTTCCAACTAATTTGATAATCGATTGGTTTGGGTAATTTTTTTAAGAAACAAAAATTTAGATTTCAGCTTTTTAAATGTGAATATTCTCTTGTTTCTCTACTCTGCTATGACAGTAAACTGAATATCTTTGGGTTGTGGACAAAACAAAAAATTTAAGGATGTCATCTTGAGCTTTCGAAACAATGACAGACATTTTTAACAATTGTAACAATATTTGAAAGATCAGACAACTAGTCAATTAACTGAGAAAATAATCAACAGATTAATCATGAAAATAATCTTCAGTTGCAGCCCTACAATGTATACAGATATTTTTCACATGTGTATATATGTAATAATCAAACTTCTGCTGTTAGTGAGCTTTTAGGAATTTGAAACATGCTGCTAAATGGATGATTTTCGTTTGAACTGGGAAAGTAAGTCAAGTAATAAAGCTTAAAATAAATTAAAAATCACATACTTCAACTTACTCAATTATAGTTTAAGGGCTAATTCTTTATCTAAAATTAAGAACAAACCAAATACGTTTTTTTTACCATGTGATTGAGCATGCTTACAGACTTCTATACTCGTATTGTAATTACTGTAGTGAGAAAATGCAAATAAACTTGTCCTCTCCAGAAAAAAAACTGCCAGTCCACAAACCAAGAAATGCTAGAAGCATAGCCTGGTTTGTTTTTAGCAATGAAGCTACTTAGTTCACCAGTACTGCAGGTTAACCCGGGATCTCCTTTCCTGGATTACTGACAAATCCTGATACCATCGTGCTCAAATCAGCTGTTGTGGTTTCCCACTTGAGTGAATGATTGATCGCTTTTCCAACAAGGGACCAGGATCATTGCACAAGTCAACAAAACAATGGCGTGCAAAAACTGCCTGTTGCTCCAGAGGGCAAACGGACATTAGTAGCCTCGAGGAGGATATCTGCAGACTCTCTCATGAGCAGCACAAGAAAAGACTCTTTGTTGACAAGTTTTATCGACATGGCAGCTTCAAGGGCAAAAAAAAAAAGGATTTCATCCGTGAGCTCGGCCATTTCGACCACCCTGTGGGATCCGGTGTCTCTTCCTCTTTTGACTTAGTTCGACATGTTATTGAGACCACCCGTCAATGTGATTATTCCCTTGATCTTGTTGTCTCCCTGGATACTGATGTCAGAGTTACTACCATTCAAGATGCTGCTATTTCAGATCATTAGTGTGATTTCTCTGAAGTAACATTAGCAACGAAAGTGTTGATTTAAGCAGAATTGTTAGAAAATGGCACATCATTAACAACTTCACTAAAACATTCACCACAGCAGCCATTTCTGTTCTATGCCACTAACTTCATTATCATCCACTAACGCTAACTGTGATGATCTTAGTATCCACGTTACACTGCTGCATCGCTGAGAACCAAAATAGTCTCTGGCCAAATTATAGCTGCACGGGGAAAAGATTAACCATAACGTGTGTGTGTGTGTGTGTGTGTGTGTGTGTGTTCGTGTATGCATGATGTCTGCTTTTATCCGTTTTATGATGTACTCTTTGCTTCTTTTCTATCACGCTGTAAAGAATTCTTGAAATGATTTTCAAAATGTAAGCAAGTATATCAGCCCTGTGAATGTGTCAAATGTGGAAGCATGTCTTATTTTGTTCAGTCAAAACACACTGGGTTTCATTAAAACAAAACAAATCAATATTTTCTTCTCATAATCTGTTAGTGATACACACATCCTCAGCACCTTAAGAAGCAGAACTGATTTTTGTTTCTAACAAAAAAGCTTAGACAAAACAAATATTGAACAACCTATAAAATGTAGTGGGTGGGAGAGTGCACAGTAATACAACAAAACAACCTGAAACAACCTTGATGATTTTAATGCTTTTAGAAATTGCAACATTTCTGAACTCCTACTTTGTGAATTTAGTCGAGATAATGGCACAAAACAACCCAACACTGCTGGTAGTCACAGACCATCTTCCTCTTAAGTGAGGTCTTAAATTCAAGGTGAATATAGCACCAGAGTCACTCAGAAACTATAAACTGAAGGATTAATCAGATGACTTGAAATGCATTTGTGACCAGAAAAAAACATTCACAGAATTTAAGATTTTGCGTTGTAGGAGAAAATTATTATTTTGTGTGTTTGTCTGATTAAGCAACATCACACGATACTGCTGCTATTTTCAATATCAAGTCACTGACAGGCCGAAGACCGAGTACTGAAGATAGTCAACAGTTCTACATGCACCATTTATTAGTTAACAGTAATGAGCAACAACAGATTATAATGTGTTTGTTCGGTTAACCATTTATCTGGCTCCACCAACACAAATATTTCCGCAACTGGGCTGGACTGTTGCTGAGCAACACAAACATTGCTGCACTCTAGCTTTCTACTTTGTGTCGGCAGGTCTACATGTTTACACAGGCCAGCGATAAGATACAATGATCTATATGTTTCCATTTACTGTGCAGCCAGGGAAATAAGAGTCTGTTGACAGTTGCTTTGGTGGCTTGTCTGACTCCAGTGAGTTAACAGCTTGATCAGACAGTAACTGTACTTGCACACCAAGAGCTGCGAGGTCGCCCAAGCAGCGCCGCTGTCCAAAATATTTTTGGCAGTAAAGTCGCTCATGACGTCATACGTTTGATCGTGCTTGTCAATTTAAAGGTGCCGCAAAGCAGGTTACTGGCTGGAGCACAGCGCCTTTGCCAGCTGCCCAGCCCCAGAAGCTAGGCTATATTCACATGAAACAAGGGAGATTAGCATGCTAGGTGTTACATTAGCATGGATGTATTCGCCTCTAGTTTAAAAAATTCTTTCTCAATATCAATTCACCAGGCAAACCAACTACTCGGGACATGGCTTGCCACGCCTGCTCCTTTTGATTTCGGTCCCTATATATGAACAGGCTCAAATCATAAATGACTCAGTGTCCAGCTACAGCAGTGATTAGCTTCTCTCTCATTTTGAAGTAGGAACTAATATATATAAGTAGGAACTTAAGCTTCCGAGGATGTTCTCTGGGTTCCACACAATCGATGGACAACTACTTCTCGATTAGCGGCTGGTCATTTGCAGCCGAAATGCATCATAGCTAATTTGCCTAAAGTTCACAACTCCCCAACTTTCATCTGACACTCTGGTCGCCAAAACGCGGACGCTTTGAAACTTTGCAGCCGGGGTCGCCGGTGCCCATTGAAAATTAATTGAATCAGTCACCTTTGCAGCTTTTGCAGCTCTTGGTGTGCACGTACAGTAACGAGGCGACATCAGCTGATGTCATAAAAGCACAGCTGGAGGTTGGCGTATCCAGGGTTTCTTTCTTTTCCTTTTTCCTCTTTTAAAGACC